TCCTGAAATAGGTGACACTCTCCAGGGTCACAGGGGTCACAGACATGCCTTCCTGGAGGGTCTCAGTTCCTGCAATGAATCCAGGCATTCATTATCTGGGGAAGGGGTGTGTGGGGGTGTGAACAGGTGTTCCATGTGCCTGAGGGAGACCTTGAGGCTCATCCTCCATCCCAGACTGAGTGAGGTTGGTGAGCACTGGTGCTAGGAGTGACCTCTCACTGCCCACACAGGTATGCAGACAAGAGCAAATGCACAAGCCCACACTCGCAGCCTGGTCACACACAGAAGGTGTCAGACATCCTCCTCTAACGACCAGCCCTCCCCACTGCTACAACCATGATGAGGTCCCTTGGCACATACCACAGCCAAGCTCATCACTGGAGTCAGGACAGTCTGGGTGGCCATCACAGAGCCAGGTATGTGGGATACAGGTGCTGCCCAGCAGGCAGTGGAGCTCCCCTGCCGGGCAGGGCTGGCGGCTACAGTTGAGAAGGATCTTGTCGATGCCATCGGGGCAGTCATCGATGCTGTCACAAGAGCAAAGGCTGCCCTCGGGCGGTGAGCACTGCCCATCCTGGGTGCACGGCTCTATCTCTGGAGTACAGAGTCAGTCAGGTCCCTAGCGCCCCCACAACAGGGCCCAGGTACTCCCCACAGCCCATCCTCTTGCAAGCCTCCGGGTCCACACTAACTCCACCTCCCTGTAAACTCACCTCTTCTCAAGCCTGAGACCCAGACTTCCCTCCTTACAGCGCCCCCACCCCCACCAGGCCCTATCCCACTGTGCCCCCTGAAAGCCACAACCCTTCCACAAGCATCACCTCCTGTGGCCCCATCCCTGCAAGCCCCAGCCCAAGGTGCAACCACTCACTGCACTCCTCCTCATCGCTGCCATCAGGGCAGTCCTCTTCACCATCGCAATGCCAGAGGAGGGGCACATAGTGGCCGCTGATGCGGCACTGGAAGCCTGTGGGTGAGCCTGCAAGATGAACACAAGCGAGGCCTGGGAGGCCTGGACCCTCTCCAGAAGTCTAGTAGTCCACAGGCTGCGAACACCAGGAGACAGGCCAGGTCCCAGGGCGCTGGCACTATATTGATGGTCACCCTTTGCTGAGGACCTACTATATGTGGGGCTTGAAGCCAAAGAGTTCACAGCCTCACCACAAGCCCTACTGGGCAGGTTCTATTGCGATCCCCATTCTAAAGAAAACACTGAGGAGATGTAAGGCCAGAAGCAGCAGAACTGGTGGCAGAGTCAGGGTTTGAACCCAGGTCTCACTGATCCTGGAGTCATTACCAAGCTTCAAATGGTCAGATGGTCTCCCCAGGACCCTCTCCAAACCGCAGGGTTAAACAGACTTGGGGAGGCGCCATCTCTGAACCTGCCCTGGATCAGGCCCATGGTCAGGGTCAGCAGGGCCCATGACATCCCACCTTAAGAAAGGGGTAAAAGATCAGCTTAGTCACCAAGCTCTGTCATCTTAGCTCCTAAATTTCTCCAGATCTGACCACGTTCCTATCCTGAATGTGCTACCTCGCCAGGCCCCCAACCTCATCTCCATTTGGACACTGGAGACCCCTCAGAGTCCCATCATTTGGTAACCCACTTCACCTGTCCTCTGCTCAAAGCCGTCTCCTGACCCACCAAGCCTCTCACAACCCAATCCTACCTCCTCCAAGTGACCCACAAGGCCTAGCTCAGTTCTGAACCCTTCCTGGAACCTGGCTTCCTCCCACGTTTTCCTCTTCACAAAGCTCCCTCTGTCGTGGCCTCCTCACTGCTTCACCAAGAAGCCTGGCTTGTTCCACTCAGTGCCTTGTCTGTGCTGTTTCTTGGCCCAGTATGCCCTTTCCTCCCTCCACTCTGTACCTGGAGATTTCCTCCTCAGCCTCAGATCTCAATCTATTTCCTGGGAGGGGTCTCCTGTCCCTCTCAGAGACCCCTGAGGTTCTGCTTCCCGCTTACAACAACCCTCTTTAAACTGACAGGGACTAGACTGGACACAGTGTGCCAGGACCATGACCTTGTGACCGGAAGCCCAGGGGGTGCCTGACAATACGTGAACACAGGTCACACTCGGGCGAGATCTGAGCCTTCCTGGACCCGACAGCGGGGTTGGCTGTATGCGGATCAGGAGGAGCACAAAAGGAACTGGGACCTGAGTTTGAGGGACAGAGCAAGAGAGTGACTTTTAGGGCTTCCTCCTACATGTAGCAAGATGGGTGGCAAATACCTGGCTTGGCCCCAGCCTAGCCCCATTTGATGCTGGTCCACTTGCCCCTTCCACTTTTACTCACAGGGGCCTGAGCCTCCAAACACCCCACTCTCCACAGCTGGCTCCTCTGCAGACCTCCAGGCCCACCTGCAGCTGTACGCCACAGTCCTGGGACTCGGTGGAGGCGGGGAAGAGCTGTAGACAACCTGGAGCTGGCTTCCTTCCCTGCCCTTGGGGGACTGTCGGCATCCAGGCCCAGCTTCCTCCCGGCCTAGCCAGTCTTGGTCTGGACAGGCAACAACATCCCTCCCTGGCCTGCTGGAGTGTGCCCCCATGTAAAGTGGGCAGCAGAGCAGAGCGACCCACCTCATTAGGTTGGGGGACCAGACCAGGGACTCCGCCCAGCCGTGGTTGTCTTACCTGTAAATGGGGCAGTTAGGAGTCCCTGCCCGTGTCCTGGGGAGACTGCTTGTATGTAAAGGTTTGGTACTTGGTTAACATGAGTCCTGCCTTCCTTAAGGAACCTTTAGCCAGAACAGGCAGGGACTTTGGGTTGCGGTAGAGGACCAGATCAGAGGGGAGCCCACGTGTGAACCTGAGCTCACAGCTGAAAGTCAGCGGCACCTTCGCACACACGGAGGCCACCCTAACCCTCCCAGCTGCCTCTGGGAACCTGAGACGGCCGCCAGCATCACATCGGCCGGGGTCACGGGGAGGGAGGCCTTTCGTTCTCTAAGGCTAGAGGAGAAAAGTGCAGAGATTGGGTGCGAGGATGGCCACCGAGGAAACAGCCACAAGGCCTCAGCTCAGGCGGAGGGTTTGGAAGGCGCTGCTGCTGCTGCGGAAGGTACCAGGTACCAGGTGACCGACCCCGCAGCGTTAGAGGTCGGACAACCAGGGCCTGCGGCGAGCCCGCGCTGGGCTGAAGGGCTGAAGGACGGACGGCTTGGAGGGAACAATGGGTGACGAGAAAGCAGAGCAGGTGCGGGGTGTCAGCAGGGCCAGCGCACGGTAGTTAAAGGCAGGCAGTGAACTCTTCATTGGTGAGGACTCGCACAATTTCCCAGCTAAAGAGTCAAGAGCCACATGCAGGAGGAGTGTCCGGACGGAGTGCGGCGCAGCCAATGGAGAGGCGGTGCCGGCAGGGACGAAGCTAGGCTGCTGGCCAGGCGGGCGCACGGGCAGCGCGGAGCTCACTCACCTATGGTCTGGGCCCGGGACCGGGTCGGGGCTGCCTCCAGGCCCAGCACGAAGCCGAGCAGCAGCTGCAGCGTCAGGCCCAGAGCAGCGGTCCGCTGCGCTCCTCCCAGTGCCATCCAACCGCCCAACGCGCCACCCACGCCCGGCGCCGGCCCGCGCGGTCTGGCTCTGGAGGAGCTCAGATTCCCGCGCACGCGCGCATCCGCCGGGGGCGGGGCCGGGCACAGAGGTCTGGCCGCTAAGCCTACCGTAAATGTCCGAATGCGAGGGGACCCGCCATTTGACTCTTTCGCACTTTTCCCTGCGATAAGGTACAGAGAAAGGTACGGAGGGATGGAAACCAACTTGTTGACGTCTACTTACAACATGTAACGTTAGTACATGCCGCAGTGTATGTACTACCTATCGTATTTAATATGGCAACCACTCCCCTCAGACACGCCCCATCCTCGCCTTCTAATCTTTTGTGCACCTGACACTCATTACTGTATTTCTTTAGTGCACCCGACACATTATATATTTACTTATTTTGGTTTAGTGTCTGATTCCCAACTGAAATGTCAGGCCTAGGAGCTCAGGAATGCTGTTCTTGCATCCCCAGTGCCTACTACCTAGTGGGCTTTTAAATATAAACATCCTGGCCCTAACTGGTTTGGCTCAGTGGATAGAGCGTCGGCCTGCGGACCCAAGGGTCCCAGGTTCGATTCCGGTCAAGGGCATGCACCTTGGTTGCGGGCACATACCCACTAGGGAGTGTGCAGGAGGCTGCTGATCGATGTTTCTCTCTCATAGAAGTTTCTAACTCTCTATCCCTCAGCCTTCCTCTCTGTAAAAAATCAATAAAATATATATATTTTAAAAGATTTGATTTTTAGAGAGTAAGGGAGAGAAAGAAACATCAATATGAGAATGTCGGGAGGTTATAGCTGCTTTTGGAGTAGTTATACTTTCTGATAATAATCTCCCAGGGGAAATGGGTAAGAACCAAAGATGCAAGGGTGCAGAAGCAGGTGGACTGGTAGCAAATAGGACTGGGGGGGAGGGGGGGGCGGGGTAGGAGTGCCTGGCCTTAAAGGCTGTTGGAGGCTTGACAACAGTGGTGACCTCACAGCATCAAAGGAGCTGAGATCATGGATAGGAAGCATTCAGAACTGTACCTAGCACACAGAAAGAGCTCAGGTGTCAGACCTTCCCTATTTTACTCCCTTGCCAAATCTCAAGTCTGGGTCATAAAACTATTCTGAAACCTTCAATGGCACATCTTGTCTGGGGTCTTCTGAAGCCCTCAAGGGTTGCCCTCCTTGTAGCTTCCACATACCCTGCTCAGCCTTCCTTTCCCTCCTGACCTTCCTGAATCTGATTTATCATTTACCCCAGCCAAAACCCCACCTCTTCCAGGAAGTCTTCCCAGGTTTTTCAGCCTGTGGGGCTCCCTACCTCTAATGAGCTTTTAGCATTTGAGATAACCACACTGAGCCACTTATACCTCCTGCCTGGAACTGTGACCCTTTCCTGCTTCCTGCCTTGCTCTCCACTTCCACTCCCCTGGCACACAGCTGATCTTAAGCTTTGGAAAGGCTGCAGGGTTCTTTCATGGGGCAGCCATGCCAATCCCCCACTTGAGGTCACTGTGTTGCTCCCCGTCACTCCTGCAGCCAGACTGGGGCCACTTTGTCTTGGCTTTTACTCTCCTGCTCATTCCTCCACAGGCACAAGCCCCTTACTTCCCTTGGCTGACTCTGCCTCCCCCCCTGTACCCCCACACACTGAGCAGAAAGGCTTCTGGCTCAGAGGCCTTTCCTCATCTGTCCTGGGTGAGCTTTACCTGTGAGCCACCTTGCGGACAGCCTTCCCTGCTGAGCTACAAGGTGGTCAAAGTAAGGCAGGGGCCACAGTGGGAGGGTACCAGCCAATGTCCACATGAGCAATGGCTTGGGAAGCTCTTGAGAGATAAGTGAGCAGTATGTCTTTGGCCCTGCTGTCTTCTCAGTCAGAGCCTCCCCAACCCCCACAGGCCCTGGAATCCAGCCCACCACTCTCAGGAATAGAGCCAGGCCTTGGAGAAGGGATGGGATATCTCTGGGCCCCATGTACCATGTCATCCATGTCTGTGACATGTCACCCTGGAGCCCAAGAACTACTATTCCTCTCTGTCCCTGGAGCACTGACAGAGTTAAGAAATTTGGCACCAACTTCACCCCGAAATCCAAGTAAACCCAGTGTCACTTCAAAAGTAAAAATGGCCCAGCGGCATGGCTCAGTGATTGAGTGTTGACCTATGAAACAGGTCACGGTTCAATTCTTGGTCAGGGCACATGCCCAGGTTGTACACTTGTACACTTGGTCCCCAGTAGGGGGCATGCAAGAGGCAGCCAATCATCATTGATGTTTCTATCTCTCTCTCCCTTTCCTTTCTTCTCTGAAATCAATATATATATACACATACACACATACACACACACACACACATACTTTTTTTTTTAAGTAAAAATGGAAGTGATACTAGAGAGCACAATATATTTGTCATAAGTCAGGTCACGCTCTCCCAGAATGGAAGACAAGGAGGGCACAGTCAGGTGGCCCAGAGCAGTATCACAGATAAGGCTGGTCCTGGGACAACTCCCACTTCTGTATGGGAGGAGCTGGTGTCACCGCCTTCTTCTCAGTGGCTGCCAAAGCTGAGCTGGAAGAAGAATGATATCTTACCATTTGCAACAACATGGATGGACCTAGAGGGCTAGAAGGTATTAAGCTCAGTAAAATAAGTCAGACAGAAAAAGACAAGTACCATATGACATCACTTATATGTGGAATCTAAAAAACAAACAATAAAAGGTACAAACTTCTATTTATAAAATAAGTAAGTCCTGGGGGTGTAATGTACAACATGGTGACTATCCTAGAAAATAAAAGGCTAAAATAAAAGGCTAATATGCAAATTGTCCCCTCCACTGGGAGCTGGACTAGGGGGTGGGGCCGGCTGACCAACCAACCACCCATGGCCCTCCCACCAGCCAGCCCCACCCCCGATCCCCCCACCCTGATTGGAGGCAGGGATGGCGGGACCCCATCCATGCACGAATTCGTGCACCAGGCCTCTAGTAGTTAATAATACTGTATTGTATATTTGAAAGTTGCTAAGAGAGAAGATGTTAAAAGTTCTCATTACAGCCCTAACTGGTTTGGCTCAGTGGATAGAGCGTCGGCTTACACACTGAAAGGTCCCAGGTTCAATTCCGCTCGTAAGTCAAGGCCCCACTGTATATATATTTTTTAAAAGTTCTCATTACAAAAAAAATTTGTAACTACGTAAAATGACGAACACTAACATTTGCAATATATACAGATATCAAATCATTACACTGTACACCTGAAACTAAAGGACCCTGGAACTTTATCTGATTTGCAGGAAACCCACCCCAGCCTTCGGCCCTAACCCCTACACTGGGATAGGTGGGGATTAAATGCGTTTGCAGATGAAAAGCTCTTGACCACATGGTTCCCAACACAGCTGATGCTAGGTAAATGGGACTTTGAAAAGCAGAAGCGAGAGAACAGGCTGGCTGTAGGTGTGTGTGGCATCCTCACCTTTCTGCTGGCTTGCCTGACACCAGCGCCTTCTGTGAGGACATGACAATGGAAGGTGGCGTGGCTTCCCTGCGGCCGTCACGAGTACAGTAGTAATTGTTGGAGAGCCTGTGGCTGGGGCCCACAGGGAGCTTGGGAGGAGGCTGAGTTCTGAGGAAAAAGGACATCAGCATTAAAGCAAAGCCGTAGTGCTCTCACAGCCTGGCTGGGCAGGGCTGGTCACCTGTGTCACTGGGACAGGCTGCAGGCCAGGGGTATCCCTTGGTACACTGTCACGGAGGGACATGCCTGGAAAGGGTCCAGAGCTTAGACGCAGGTGGCAGCCCAGGCTTTGGAGGTGAGAGCTGGGTCTGCTCCATTGCAGGTCCCTACCTGCCCCCAAATGGATGAATGACCTTTTGTGAAACCCATGGAAGGGGTAGGCCCAGTCTGAACACCTGGGACTGTTCCCACCCCCCCATGACCCAGAGCTTGGCATCTGGCCTCACTTCTACCTAAAGATGCTCAGGAAATGAAGAAGCCAGGTTGTGAGACTCTGCCCACTACCTATCCAGTAGTTAATTAGTAAAAGCTTGGGCAACAAGCTCCAAACATAGCTCATTCTGAGGGGCTTCCTTCCCAAAGGCCAGACTACACAACTGGGTTTCCTGCTATTCCAGGAACCCTCTGGAGCAATGGCTGCCAACCAGTGGCTCTGGAGAACCCTGCTGGGATCAAGGCTTGTAACTCAAAGAGCACCTTGTATTCCAAGCCTCCCAGGCCTCTGCATTTCCTGTCACCTCATAGTGGCTGTAGCCAGGAAAGGGGGTGGAACAGAGCTCTGTTCTGGGCCTGAGGTGAATTTACAAAGAAGCTGGAAGCCTGAAAAGGAAACCCTAACCTCAAGAGGAGCTTCCCTGGAAAATACAGCAGAGAGGGAGGGCAAAATGATAGGTAAAATCTTTTAAAACTGGGCTTTCATTCAACCATGTTTTTAAACAAACTTTTTGTCTGGTAATCATTTTGCCAGGATTTAAATTTTTTCTTAATACAAGTGACAGTCATTGTGTATCTTTTTTTAAAATAAATACAGATAAATAAATTTTAAAAATTTAACATTCAAAACAATGTCCTGTGTGGAAGTTAGAATTTGCTCAGGCCCTGGAGTAGAGATGATCTCTGTAGGAATGGCCATAGTTTTCTGCAACCTAACACAGAAAAAATATAACCAGTGCTGGCCCTAGCTGCTTTGGCTCAGTGGATAGAACGTCGGCCTACAGACTGAAAGGTCCTGGGTTCGATTCTGACCAATGATTCTCTCCATTGGTGTTTCTTTCTTCCTCTTTATTTTTTTAAAACTGATTTCAGAGAGCAAGGGAGGAGAGAACAATAAAAACATCAATGATGAGAGAGAATCACTGATCAGCTGCCTCCTGCACTCCCCTCACTGGGGATTGAGCCCACAAACAGGGCATGTGCCCTGACTGGAAATCGAACGGTGACTTCCTGGTTCATATTGAGCCACGCCAGCCGGGTTTATAGATGTTTCTTTCTCTCTCTTCCTCTCCTTTCCTCTCTGAAATAAAAAAACAACAACAAAAAAAAAGTGCTGAAAGGAAAATCCCAAATGGATCACTAGGGGGCGCCATTACCCTAAAGACACTGAAAATTTTACAACTTTCCTCAACTAGCCCAAACCCTGGATGGAAAAGCAATTTAAACTTTTGATATTAGGAATTAATCACACCATTTAGGCATTCACATAAATTTGGTTACTTTGATGCTATTTTTTCTTCCTTCACCGCCAACCCTCCAAGACTGCCTTACCTTTGCGTGTCACTGACTTCATTTTATACCACTATCCCCCTTTCCTACCTGTCTGTCACACTGGCCTCCATCCTACTGGCTCTGTTGGGCCTTACAGCCTTCGTGCTTACTGTTCTCTCTGCCCAGGTTTCTTCAATAATTATCCTTTGGCTCTTTCTCATCATTTAGGTCAGTGGTTCTCAACCTCGGCTGCACATTAGAATCACCTGGGAATCTTTTTAAAATCCTGATTTCTGGGCCTCATCCTCCGGAATTTGTTTGTTATGGGGTGGGGCCACAACATTAGTAACAAAGAAACAGAATTTCCGGAGGATGAGGCCCAGAAATCAGGATTTTAAAAATATTCCCAGGTGATTCTAATGTGCAGCCAAGGTTGAGAACCGCAGATTTAGGTGAATCAAATGTCAATCCCTGAAAAGAAACTTTTCCTGATCTACATGACCCAAGGTAGTAACCCTCCAGATTACTCTCATTTATCTTTGGAGTATTCCAGAATAACGTTTTTTTTGCCTGCTGTGTTTTTTCTCTACGTTTTTCTCTTCCTAGGATATGAAGGAATGAGGACCAGAACTTTCCTTGTTTGCACTGGGGGCACACAAGGGCTTGTAAGTACCAAGCATGTTTTGGACATCAATGAGTTGAAATCAAGACCCGTCTGGGTTCAAGTCCCAGGTGTCACTTCCTAGCTTCTGAATGGCTTTAAGCAAATGATTTAGTCTCTCCACGCCTCAGTTTTGTTTTCCCCCCATCTATTGCTTGGGAATGATACCACCAGCAGGCAAGGCCACACTGAGGACTGCAAATCACGCCCAATCGGCTGTTTCCAAGAGCAAGTCTACGGCTTAGTCCGGCAAGTTTAAAAGCAAACGTGTCTTCACCTGTCAGGAAGCTAGGGGCAGGATTTTGGCCAGGGCTTCAGGGTCTAATGCAGTGGTTCTCAACCTTCCTAATGCCGCTGCCCTTTCATACAGTTCCTCATGTTGTGGTGACCCCCAACCATAAAATTATTTTCGTTGCTACTTCATAACTGTAATTTTGCTACTGTTATGAATCATAATGTAAATATCTGATATGCAGGATGTATTTTCATTGTTACAAGTTGAACATAATTAAAGCATAGTGATTAATCACGAAAACAATATGGAATTATATGTGTGTTCTGATGGTCTTAGGCGACCCCTGTGAAAGGGTCGTTGGACCCCAAAGGGGGTCGCGACCCACAGGTTGAGAACCGCTGGCCTAAAGGAACACGGTTTTGTTTTTGGTGGAAGGACAGAACAGGGCGGGGGCTTGAGCAGCGAGCGGGGCCTGCTCACCGCTTGGCGATCTCCTGGTAGCGCAGCTGCAGCTTCGCCTGCAGGTCTTGCTGTGGGAGGAGGAAAGGAAGGTCAGCCAGCAGGTCACCCCGGGAGGGGAGAGGGACGGCCAGGGACGGACATGAAGGGAAGGCGAGAGACGGGCATGTGGAGACAGGGGTGTGGGCCCTGTGGAAAGGAAGGTCAGGCCGGGCCCACCCGACCAAGGCTAATGCGGTCAGGAACTAGGGAGACGCAGGTCTCCGGCCAAAGGGGGGAGTGGAGGTGGGTGTGTCCCGGGCTCCGGCCTCACGGGGTCCCCGGCGGAGCGCGGACCTGGCCCCGGGAGATCTTGGCACCGAGGCTGCCGGACCCAGGGCACAGGAGAGAGGGACGGAGCGGCCCCGGGCGCACGGAGCGCACAGCCCCCACCCCAGCCCAGCGCGGCCCCCCGCCCGCGCACCCCGGAGGCCCAGCGACTGGATGAGCCGGGTGGCCGACGCCATCTCCCCTCCGCGCTGAAGGACGCCGGCAGCAGCGCTGCGGTGGGGGCTGTTGGGAAATATGTGTGTAATCTCGCGAGAGGGGGGCGGGACTAGGACGGCGTATAAAGACGCTCCCCTAAGCACGTGACTCCTTTCCGCCCGACTGTTGCCGCCATCATGGACACGAGTCGTGTGCAGCCTATCAAGCTAGCCCGGGTGAGCAGGGTGCCGGCGGGCCGAAGGGAGGCCGGTGGGGTGGGGCTCCGGGCCCGGCGGTGCTGACCCAGCTTCTCTCCACCAGGTCACCAAGGTGCTGGGCAGGACCGGTTCCCAGGGACAGTGCACGCAGGTGAGGCGTGGGGCCGCCCGGGATCGGAACTGCCCCTCGTGGAATCCGAGAACCCTTTGTCCCAGGTTCCTGGAGGTCCGAACCCCCCCACCCCCCAGGCCCTGCCAGCGGGTCTGAGCTCCAGGGAACCTCTTCATCTCGGCTCGGCGGCCTCAGTGGGCCCTGTGTGGCTTCACGCCCTGCCGAGTGTGGACCCGTCCGCAACGGGCCCAGAGCGGCGGCCACCCCCCATGGTGGCAGCTTCTGGCGCTCGGGAGCTTTGTTCGCCAGTCTCCGCCTTTTTGGTTTTCCTCCCGGCCCAGGCCTACCTGCCAGCGAGCCCCATCCCCCTTTGTTTCCCTGGGCCGGCCCCTTCACGCCCCCTAAATCTAGATCTGCTGCCCACCCCCGTGGGTCCCGTAGGTCCGCGTGGAGTTCATGGACGACACGAGCCGCTCCATCATCCGCAACGTGAAAGGCCCTGTGCGCGAGGGCGACGTGCTCACTCTGCTGGAGTCGGAGCGAGAGGCTCGGAGGCTGCGCTGAACTGGTGCCTGGTGAGTGCAGTACCGGGATGAGGGGACAGAGCCGGCCCGTGAACTTCCCCGGCTGGTGGAGGGCGGCTTTGGCAAGCCCTGGGTGAGGGCTCTTGGAGGAGGAGGATGTGGAAACGGGCTGCAAGGCTGGGGAGGGAGTTTGCCTGTTGCTGGGAGGCCTGTCAGCATCTCATGCTTGGGTCTTTTTACAGGGTCCTGGCTGGCTGGGTGAACCACATAGCCCATGGGGAAGATGCTCCACTGTTAATAAAGCGTTTGTGTAAATTCGGGTTCTTGTCTGGGGTCACTAGGCTTACAGTACCTTCTGGTGGGTCACTGGCCCCTTTGCATTCTGGAAACCTGAGGGAGGGAGGGAGGCTCTACCCCAACAAGGCATTTTCTTTTTGAAGAAAGGAAACCAAGTGTCTATATGTGCTCCTAAAAAATGATACAAGTTCAGTTAGAAATGTTTTATTTGTTAGGAAAGGTCAACCCTTCGCCCCCCTGCCCCTATCCAGGTCTCTTGTTCGAGGCCGCTCACTGAGGCTGGGGGTCCTGTCCATTATCACTGCTTCCTCTTCGACCTGGCGTGGCCATGGGAGAGTCAGGGGGTGACTGGTGAGAAAGGTGGTGGAGGTCATGTCACAATCTCTTGTGGACTTCAGATGCCACAGACTCAAGGATGCTTAACTTAGTGGAAGTCTTGTCCTCTCCATTATGGTCATGTCTGAGGAAAAACTCCTTCACAGGAGCCAGGCTGCCTAGGTTTGAATCCTGCCTTTACCCCATCTGACCTGGAAGAGGCACTTAACCATGCCTCCTTTCCCACATCTCTATTGGAAAGAGGATGGGCAAGCTGATTTAGCTTTGAGTATTACCTCTCTCCCCTTGGAGGGACACACTGGGTGCTCCCTACCTGCCGGCTGCTGGCAAACTGATCTAGTCTCCAATTCTGAAGCTCCTTCTTGCAGGGAGCCTGCATCCTCTTCCCCAACCAGGCTTAACTACAAAGGGTCCTAAACTCCTTTGCTATGAGCCTCTTTGGGGGTAATAACTGGCAGAAACTCTACCAGGCCTCCTCTGATCATAGATCAGGTCCCTTCCCCTCTGCAGGCGTCAGTCTCAATCTATAAAATGGAGGAAGTGTCCCACCCACATAGGAGATGAAGCCCCCAGATCCCCATCCCACTATTTCCCCGAGGGAGTGGGAAGGGGAGATCTCCTAGAGCATGCTGGGTATCCTTGCACAGTGTGCAGCTGTTAAGTTTTGTTGCTTGAGGTTAGAGCTACACTCACCGGGGGACCAGGCTGGCCTGAACTTAGGTGGGCGTGCAGCAGAGCAGCCACCTCATCCTGCTCAGCCTCCAGAGCCATGGCCAGGGCACTGGTGCCCTCCTGAAGAAAAACGGACAGTTAGGTCACTGAACCAAGGCATGGGTACCTGCCTGCCCAACCAGCCCATCCACAGTAGCTCACATTATCCAGGAGGGCAGGATCGCAGCCTGGCTGGGCCAGTAGCAACCGGACAGTTTCCAGGTGCCCGTACTCGCTGGCAAACATCAGTGCTGTGGCTCCGTCCACATCTTGCACATTGACATCTGCCCCACATGCTAGCAGGGCTGCTACCATGTCCTGTCGGCCATGGCTGATGGCCAGCATGAGGGCTGTCTGTCCTGTCTATGGAGTGGGGAAGACAGGACTGGGTGGGCTTTAGGGGAAGGGAGGTAAAAATCAGGGTTGGTTCCTGAATTGTAAGTATCCACGCACCTGGCTAGCCTTGGCATTGATGTTGCCCATTTGGAAGAGTCTTTGGACCACAGGGATGTCCTCATGCCCAACAGAGGTGAGTGCAGCTAACATAAGGGCTGAGTAGCCTGCTTGATTCTGGCAGTCAACCTTGCAGACTCCTAAGAGTAAAGAGGGGACCAGTCAACTAAGCTACACCCTAGCCCAACCTGGTTCACTCACCTCTCCCAGTCTTGGGTTCATCTGAGTTACAGGTGGTACCCATGGGTCATGAATTGACTCCCCTTTGCCTACAAGGTTCTCCCACCAAGAGCCATGTGGCACCTCTCTCAGGTTCAGTGTTCTGCCCTCTCTACCTTGCACTCAATAAGGGATGTTTATTTTTATGGCTACAAGCACCATCATTGTTCCCCCAGAGAACTGTGCCAACTATTTCACCTTGATCCGAGTCCCCCCTCATTTCCTTCCAGCAGCCAGGAGTAGATCAAAGGAATTTGGTCCAGTCTATTTAAAACCTTCCTGTTTAACTCCTGGAATAAATGCTATTGTCCACCATGACCTATGAAGCTGTTAACTTATGTTCTCTGGAATCCTCCCCTTCCCCAAGCCTGTTACAAATTGAATGTGTCCTCCAAAACATGTTGAAGAACCATAAATGTGACCTTACTTGGAAACAGGCTCTTTGCAGATGTAACAAAAGGAGGTCATTATGGTTGGCCCTAATCCTGTATAACTGGTATCCAAGGAGATGGGTTGGGGACCATTGATAATGGTCCCCTAAGATTGAGGATTGTTAGAGTTAAGGAATGGGAGAGGAAGCTGAGACCTCAGGGAGGTGAAAGTTGAGAAGAAGGGTGCTAGGGAGTAAGGTTATGGAGGAGGTGACATCAGGGTTTTAAGGTGACCTTTCAAGTGTAAGGCTGATACATCAAGGTGAAGGGAGAGGAGCAGGTCAAGGAACTGAGAAGCCAAGTTGGAGGGATGAAAGGAAAGCAACCCCTATATGAGGTTCATTGAGGGCTCAGGGTCCTGGGGGAGGTTGGACCAGGCTGACATGACCGCAGTGGGTAGGGTATGGGGGATGCTGGCGATGACTGATAGGGAGTTGGCTGAATCGGGTTCAATACAGGGTAAAAGGGTCCAAGGAGCCTTGGGTCTCATGAATGACAGCCAATCCCCTTTAAGGTAAAGGATGCCCAGAAAATAACTTAATGTATCACCCCCTCCACAAAGCCCCAGCCTGGTAACCAGCCCAGAGTAGCTGTGACCTTCCTTTGGTGACCAAGACCTGCAGGCCCCCAGAGGTTACTGGTCTTAAGGGTAATCAGACGGGCTCTTGGGCAGTTGGTCCCATGGGCAAAGCAGCATGGGTGGCCCACTCCACTACCTGGTACCTAGTATGCTTTCAGTACATGTCTGGGTTCTGCAACACCTGGGACCATCTCTGTTCCTGAGGCAGGGGATGGAAATGTAGGAAGTGGAACTGGAGGATAGGGACAGTCCCAGACCAGGATGGTAGTCTGACCAGTGAGTATCTTCCCTCAAGATTGGAAAAGGCAGCTGGCTGGACGTGTGGACTTGGGAAGCACCAGGGCTGGAGCTTCATCCTGCATGCCTGATGCTTCTACAGGTGTTCTAGCTGTCCAGGTAGGGAGATGATGCATCCCCATTTCACAGTTAAGGAAGCGAAGAGATAAAATAACCCCGTAGATTAAGGACAACACAATTAAAAAGCTTGGCCAAAACCGGTTTGGCTCAGTGGATAGAGCGTCAGCCTGCGGACTGAAAGGTCCCAGGTTCGATTCTGGTCAAGGGCATGTACCTGGGTTGCGGGCACATCCCCAGTAGATGTGCAAGGAGGTGGCTGATCGACAAGGATGTACCTAACTATCTCTCTCTCTTCCTCTCTCTAAAAAATCAATAAAATATATTTTTAAAAAAATAATTCAAAAGCCTGGAAAGTGAGTTGGGTCAGGGCAGAGCTCAGGTCAGTCCATGTTGGATCTTGAAACACCCAGTGAAGGACCGGTCGTGCCATCTGCCTGGCCAGCCTGTCTCTACATTTCTTCACGTTTTCCCAGCTGAGAACTGCCCAGGCCTTCCTTTACCTGTCCACCCCATTGCCTAGTACCCTGCCCACCCCTCCTCCATGCTGACCAGTATCCAGCAGCAAACTGGAGATGGCAAGGTTCCCATGGGACACGCTGTAGTGCAGGGCTGTGTTCCCGTTGCCGTCAGCCAGGTTCACCACGTGGGCCAGCAGCTCCTGTCCCAGGCATGCTACCGCCCGCAGGACCCCGGCTACAAGCTCGGCCTGCGAACGGCGCTGGCTGGACACTCGAAACCACTCCAGGGCCACCAGGCGCGCAGCGCCCTGCCGGGGCAGGGAAAAGCATCAGCGAAGGTCCCAAAGGTCCTGGTGCCATGGCAGGGAGGGTGCAAAGTTGGGGCTGGGAGTCCAGGCAGGGGAAGGATGGTCACTACTTGTCTGAGGAGGGCCGTGGGGACCCATGGGGCCGCACCCCTTTGGAAGAGGGAGTACATTGGGCCCCGAAGGTGGTGAGCGCTTGTCTGGGGAGTCCGAGAGTGGGCTTGGGGCGGGATCCCTTTAGGGAACCAGGTAAGGATCAGCGCGGTCCTGGGAGATTCCTTTAGAGAGCCTGGGATCGGTGGAGGTCCCTGCGCTAGACGGAACTCCAGACCCTCCCCCAACTCTAGACCACAGGGGAGGTCCTTGGCGGACCCCACGACTTCCTCTGTAAAGGGCTGTCTCCGCGCACTCACGCTGTCACGGGCGACTCCACGGGGCTGGCTCAGCTGCCGCTGCAGCGCTGCGCACGCCTCCCTCAATCGCGGGCTCAGTTCGCACCTACAGAAGAGGTCGGGAGAGGCTCAGGAGTGGTGGGGGTGGGGGCGCGGAAACTGGAAAGAAAACAACAGTCCCCACTCCAGTGTCCTGGCGCTGCTCACCTCGCCTGCGCACCCTGCTGAGGCTCTGCCTCTGGCTCCGGCACGGGGTCCCGAACGACTCCGCTGCTGGGCGGGCCCGGGGTGCCCGAGTCAGACCCCTGGCCGCTGTCCTCCCCAGAGCCACAGGAGCTGCTCCTCAGGGGATCGCCGGCACCGTCTTCGCTGTCACTGTCTTCCTCGCTGGATGAGCTCTCGTACCTGCGGGCAGTTAGGGTGGCGTCTACTGAACCTCCCCTGTGGGCTCGTTCCGGAGTCCTGCCAGGTGGGATTGGCTATCCCCATTTCCCAGAGGAGGAAACTGAGGGGCAGAGCTGGAATTCAAACCCCAGTCCGTGTTCCCGTAGATGCTGTCATGAGGAGGGGGAAAATGCTCACTCTCCGTTGGTGACTCCAACAAACTGCAGGCTCTTGGGTCCGGAGCTGGATTGGGCGCCAGGTGTTCCGTCTCTCCTCTTCATGATGGATTTGAGGATGCCTGCCAGGGATCAGATAAGGACACTGAATTCGAGACCAGTGGTCATCAAGCCAGGGCTCCGGGAGAGGTTGGGACTCACCCGCGGGCGCTATGGTCCTGTCCCCATCTGTGAGTCCAGACGGGCTCCGCGTCAGGTAAGGGACCTCCGCGGAAGGCTCGGTCTGCGTGGACTTCTCAACACAACCCCATGGGGTCTGGGTTGCAGCCTCGCGCGACTGAGACTGGGCCTCTGCCTCCTCCGTAGCCTCTCGGGCCTCCTCCAACTCTCGCAGCCGGCTCCGCAGGAGCTCGCTCACCCCGCACTGGTGCTCCAGGGCACTGCCTGGGCTTCTGCCTCTTCGGTCCCCAGCACGGCCTGGATTCCAGGCTCCTGCGTCTGGGGAGCCCGGTCGGGGGTCCCCGCCGCCCCGTCAAGGACCTGGAGTGCGCCCTCGCTGCGCCTCAGAGCCTCCTCGTCCAGGCCGTGCGCCCCGGGGCT